CGATTCTTCACAAGCAAAAGCACACCCGCATTTGTAAGATCCGGTAAATTAGACAAATCCAACTCCCGTAATCCCCGATTTGACCCGTTGTTAAAAAGAGAAGAAATACACTTACATGTCAACCTCTTACACCCTCTAATTGATAACTTAACCAAAGTGCTATTTTCACCTTTATTTAAATACGATAAACCCACGTCACTCACGTCTGTCCCATCTAACAACAAAGTTTTAAGTTTCGGAAGTTTGCTAATGGATTCAACCGCTTTATCACCAATGTTTCTAGAGTCTCTAAAGTCGAGCACATTGAGATCCGTGTTAAGTGCTAATTGTAAAACGGCTGAATTCGTTAAGAGGTTACAACATCTTAAGCTCACGAGAGTCAACGCGAGGGAAGTCGCGTACATGTCGTGGAAAACAAGATCGGTCATGCGGGTCCCGTTGAAGACTTTGAGTTTGTATAGGTTTTTGCACGAGTGGAGTAACGTTTTGAAACCGGTATCGGTGACCTGGCAGAACCCCGCGAGACATATCGCTTCGATGCTTGTACATCTGTCGGCCATGAATAAAATGCCTTGATCTGTAACTCTTCTGAAGAAAGTTGGATTGAATTCTTGGCTACGGATGAGTGAGAGGTGTTTTAATCTTCCGTGTTTGTCGAGTAGCTGAAGGCCTTCGTCTGTAAGGTCGAATGTGAGTCCCGGTTCTACAATGGGTTGATCGCGAAGGTCTAAATGGGTTAAGTGGATGAGAGTTGATGAGATTATGTTGATCATGGTGTTGGAAATGTAGTCGACTGAAAGGGAGAGTTTATGGATGTTTGGAAATATGGGAGGGGGGATGTTAATGTTATGATTTGGTTGATGATGTGGCGATGTTGTTGGGGTTAGTAACTCGGTTACCATTAACTGAGTTATGTATCCGATTTGAAGGTAAGTGAGTTTTGTGGAAGCTAAAGTCCATACACGTGCGAAATCGGGACGCCGAAATATTGAGACATCAAACATTAAAATAAGTTCCTGAGAAAAGGAATATAAAAGTTGAAGGAAAAACATGTATATTCATTAAGATGGAGTTAACTTAATGGTCCCATAAGTGTGATGTTTTAATTGCATTTAAGAAGTGACTTTGGTGATGAATTTGAAACCTTACTTCCAATTGAGTGCAACCCCTGAGTAACTCTTCTAGGTCACAAACATCATGTAAGTGTCCTCGATTATCAGCTATAGAACTCACATACAGAGACCTGGAGAGGATGTTATTAATGCTGCTAATTAATTGTTTAAACTTAGAATTTTTTTTTATCAATAAACATGAAATTAGTCCTCTTTCGTGTGAGGGAAATAAGGATTTGCATATAATTGTCGATAATTCAGACTATATTTGGATTATTACAGGTTCGTCTAGCGAAAACCTAGAAAAATATATTTCGGATAAGAGAAAACCTAATTTGTGTGGAATCAAAAATAGTCGTATACATGATGACTTAAGGAAATAGACAACAACCTTAGGTGTTTGCATCGTGCTCCGACCTCAGAAAGAAGCCTCCCGCTAAATTTGAAGCAATTCCTAAGCGACAGTTCACGCAATCCAGGCTGAAGAAGATAATCGATCGACGATTCATTCAGCCTCCTGCAGTCTAGTTTCAGGCTTCGAAGCGAAGCGTTAGGTAGCAACAACCCTCGTAAACGATCAATTGGGGGTGCAATTTCCTGGGGGAAACATATTGGTTCCCGAAAAAATATCAATCAATCAATCAAAGTGAAGATTAAAGGCAGATCATTTAAAAAAAAAAAAAAAAAAAAAAAAGTTTCTATGTTTCTGTATATCAACAGAATCAATATATTACCATCAATGCTGCAATTTCCTTTTTCTATAAACGAAATAAAAGTTATTTTACAATTTAATGGGATAGAAGTTCATTACGAGAAGGTGGAAATTTGGGAGGAATTTGAAAATGTCTTGAGCGCAAACGCGAAAGCTTTGGCAAGTGAGGGAGATGGCGCAGATCGAAGATACATCAAGTTTCGTCATTATTGTGGCGACGACTTCCGACGAGAGTTGATCCAGACACATTTTTCCACCGTTCTGCTCCGCCGGCGATTTGTTCTTCACTTTCACCCTCCGATTCGAGGATTCCGCCATTTTATGCCTCTCACACACAGATCCTTATCTTCGGCTGAAAATCAGGTGGGAGGAAGGGATTTAGGACAATAACTGCATCGGATCTAAAAAGTGATTTCATATACATGTTTTGGAGAAAAAAACCGGATATATTGCGTGTGGGTGTATTTTGACTATTTTCTTATTTTTTTTTGTTTTTCTTGTTTGTTTTGGGAGGATGGGATTTAGGACAATAACTACAATTATTAAAAAATATTAAGCTAATCTTTTTTTTTAAAGTTAACATTTTTATTAAAATTGTAATCGTTTTTGCCAATTGCCAATGTCCTACAAACTCGCTATGGCTTCAAGTGGTATAATGACAATCGAATTCATATGCAATAATTTGCTTAATATTTATTCGGTAATTATTCTTATATATCCAATGATATGTTCGGATTTTTATTAAAATTATAATTGTTTTTGCCAATGTCCTACAAACTCGCTATGGCTTCAAGTGGTATAATGACAATCGAATTCATACGCAATAATTTGCTTAATATTTATTCGGTAATTATTCTTATATATCCAATGATATGTTTGGATTTTTATTAAAATTGTAATCGTTTTTGCCAATGTCCTACAAACTCGCTATGGCTTCAAGTGGTATAATGACAATCGAATTCATATGCAATAATTTGCTTATGATATTTATTCGGTAATTATTCTTATATATCCAATGATATGTTTGGATAGTTGAATAAATGTCATAAGCCAATTACTGTGTATGAATTCAATTATTGTATATGAATTATCTAAATTACACCGATAAAAAAATATTTACTAAGGTTTGGAGGAGTGGGTACACTAGAAGGTGCACTCTCTTGTCACATTTGCTTGAATACGCCTTCTTCATTACGGTTTTGGTGTGGTAGAGACTGCACTATGGCACTCCAAGGGAGCGCTCATCTCTTCCTATTATCATTCCAACTGACCGTTGAATGGTTAGATTTTTTTTAAAAAAATGTTTTTTTTTCTTTTTAAACCTTTTAAATTGAGTATGACACCACTCCTTGGGTCTGGCATGAAACCACGCTTTTGTGGTAATTGCTGACGTGTCGCCTACGTGGTAATGAAGGGAGTGCAGCTTTACCATTCCTTCCGGTCTAATAACATTAAAGATAAATGATCGACTAAAGTTGTTAAAGTGGTTAAATATTGAGCACTGTGACTTAAACGTTTGGGATTAAGATTTAGAATTTTGGAATCAAGATTGAGTATTTGGGTTAGAGTTGAGCATTTGGCCTAATGCGTTCCAAGTCTCTAAAAATGACTAAATACATTCAAGGTCTTGAGGATAGGACTGACAATCGTGTCGTGTTCGGGTTAGCGTGTCGCAGGTTGACGGGTCAAAATATGTCAACCTAAACACGATCCATTTAAATATACAGGTCACGGGTTGGCGGGTCACAAGTTGGTGGGTTTGGAACACAAACTCATATATGACCCGCCAACCCATTTATTTATACGGGTTCACAGGTTGGCGGGTTTGTGGATCAGATTTTGGTTCGTGGGTCAGATTTCATAAATAAAATTGATAATTAAACATGAATAAATTCTTGATGATTGATGCAAACATATCTGAATTTTAGACATTTAAGTCTTAAACATCCAAATTAAAATTAAAAACATTCATAGAAACATGTTACAAACTTAGTCTTACGGGTTACGACTTACAATCTTAGGTCATCTACCACGAGTCAAAATATCAAAACAATTAAATGGTCTATGAATCAATTGTATATGTTATATAATACTTACTAAATATTAATACTTGATACATAAATACATTTAAAAATAAAATAATTTTTTTTTATTAAAAATATAAACGAGTTGGCGGGTCAACCCGTTTATTTTTTGAGAAACTCATATATGACCCGTTTAATAAACAGGTTGGCGAGTTCGCTGGTTAGCGGGTTGGCGTGTTGAAAAACTCAACCCAAACTCATTTATTTCGTGTCGTGTTGCGAGTCTTGTTGCGGGTCGTGTCGAGAATTGTCAGCCCTACTTGAGGATATGTTGATGAAGGATATGCCTAATGGATGCGTTGGTGGAGTTGAATGTGCTCCAAACTTAGCTAAATGCAATCATGGTCATGGAGAATGTGTTAGGTTGATCAATCGGTGTCTACGAATATGCTCAAGGAAGAGAATGCGCTCTACGCTCTACTAAAGGTCCTCTGTCATCATGAAAGTGCTTCTAGGGTGCATGGCGTCTTGTGATTGGTTGACATCCATTTGAACCTATGAATGGATGGGTTTGACTTATCTAGTTTCAAATTTGATTCTCTCTCTGTAAATACGGATTGCAAGTTAGAATTCATAGATGTTCTTTTGTGGTCTTCAGAAAGTCTTTATGAGGTCTTTAGTCTGTCTTTGATTGTATCGTTACTTTGTTTTACTTTGTTTGAGCTCATGAATAAGAATACCTCCTCATGTCGTGCGAGCATAGGTCACATTGAAAGAACCACGTTAAATATTATGATTGTGTGTGCTTTCTCATTTAATTCATGGCAATCAATCTTAGTTCTTGGAACCGAAATCTCAATTAAGAAACGTATACACATTGCCTCTAGGTGTCTTCGGCAGCTGCACAGCCTTCACTTTAATAATAACACAAACAATGTTGAAGATGATGGAACCAAATTCATTGATATTTGAAATATGTATTTGATCAAAATGATTTCATTGTTAACAAACAATGATTTATACAAGAGACTTATAAGTAAATGACGAACGAACAGGACTAATTTCTGCTAAGACACTATATCTACAAACAAGAGATTTATGTGTAAAGTAGTAGTATACTACAAAGTATAAAACCATATACTATATAATTTTGCATGATGCATTATACAATGTATGTGTCATATAGTGCGTACTATATATTATATATTATGTAATATTTATTACATATTAACGAATACTTTTACTGATGTGGACTATCATTACATGACTCTAAAGATTGGCATAGTAGGAAATACTTAAATCATTGGTTTAAAAAGTTACACACTTCTGTTATCAACTTCCATCAATTGATTTCTAAAAATTTTCAAATACCCTGATCATTCACAAAAAAGATCATACACTGCATTCTGTGTTCCACAAGTTTTCCCTATTTTATCATCATCAATATACATTGTGAGCATTTTAATAAAACTATTGTTGCTTCATGATGGTGTTGTTGAGCTTTTCCACTATACTCAAAAGCGTAGCATTCCCTTCACAAGCTTCCCTCAATACCATAAACCTCCTTTCTATCTCATGGAGTAACAACAAATCTTCTGCTTGATCCAGTTTTTGATAACTTTTTGCATTTGTATATTGTATTAGTTTGACCATCATACCCTATAATAAAATATCATTTACACAACATATATAAATTCATAACCATACCCCTCAAAATTTAATAAATAAAAAACTAAAACATACCTCATGCTCTGATTTACGTGAATAATCACGAAGGATAGATTTAGCCAACTTATTTCGCAATGAAACTTTATCACCAACATGATCACCAAATATGAAATACGATAAATGGTGAATAACCAATGTGAATGAAACTGAATTTCTTGTTACTGATTTATCAAGAGCTCCACAAACCCATGATTTCACATACGCTTCTAGAATCTTTTCATCATCCTGTGTACATAAATAAAACTATATTATACATTTTGAAACTTTAATTTAATTGCATTAAAGAAAAAAAAAAATCTTACTTACCTCGGGAGGTTCTAAGTAACCTTCCTCTTGTGATAAACATTTCTCTAATGGTGGCAAAAGCTCAAGAGCTCTAATATTTGATAATGCATTCCAAGTAGAAAGTCGAATTTGCCCTCCAACACATCTATGCAAATACATTGAAATTTGTCTCCCGTATAACAAATTACCATATGATGCTCCAGCAAAATTCTCCACAAGAGTTTCTATAAATGTGGTGTAACTATCGTGTATCTCCTGGTCAAACTTCAGAAAGTCAACGCTATTCTTTGACCCGATTTCTGAAATTTTTTTATCAAGAATTTTCCCGTAAGACTCCTGTAAAGTGCTGTAAACGTCTCTAGTTTTCTCCTCCTCTAAAAGATCCAACCCCGCGAATAAAGTTACAGATAAAACATGAAGCTTCCAAATGACGGGAACGCCCTTGATGGAATTTGAAGAAACGTGATTGGATATTGATTCAAGACCTAAAAGAAAGAAAAGCCCGGATCTTGCAACTTCAGGGAAGGTAGGTTTGACCGGAAGGTTGACCAAGTCAACGGTTGAGATCGGACTGAGGAACCAATGATTGGGAAGTGGTAGCCGTTGATGAGCCCATTCGGTTACCAAAGTTGACCGAATCGATTGGTCAACGTCTTCCTGAATGGTGTCGAGTGAGAATCTGGTCTTTTTGGAACTCGGATCGCTGGGTTTGACTTTTGATTTTGACTTTGACTTTTTTATATTCAGCCATCTGTTCTTATAATGAGAGATTAAATTCTCACTAGATGTTAACAACTCCTCTTCAGTATACTCCCACTCAAATGTTTTTTGATCAAGGGAATTACGGATACTGACATCAAGAAACTTGAGATTTGATGGTTGTAGTAAAATATCGAGTGTTTTGTCCATTATACCCCTGTCCCTGGGTCCCACAAGTAAAAGTAAGTCAAAAAGACAACTTATTCTCTCCACTGTAACTTCATTTGAGGGGTTTTTAAAATATATCTCAACCAACTGTAAAACCAATCTTGCATCCATTTGTGCAACCAAAATGTTTGAAGACCAAAAACCACCGCCAGCCGCCCCCCATCCGACACCGACACCTGGCGCGGGCCCGCCTCTTCCAAACATTTCAACAGATTGTGAGAGTTGACCAGCAGAAGAAGTCAACTTCATGAAAGTTGTCATCTCAGATGTACAACACTCGAGTATGCCATCAGTAAGAATTTTCTCATGGAATGTTATATTGTCATGCTCGATTGAAGAAACTTTGGTCTCAGTGTTGTTTAGGTTAATCAACTTATTGATTAAGACAACAACACTTGTTAACCCATTAAGGCAACACACAGAGGCTAATGATGTTTCCTGATCGCTTTCATGTCTGCATTGACTCAGAAAGTCAAAGAAGGAATCTTTGTTGACTTTGTTAAAGCTCAAAAGCTCATTCTTGATTATGTGTAGTCCAATCTTTGGGACAAAATCAGGTAGCCATGGAAGCTTCTTAGAGTTATCTTCTGGAAACACACTTTTGAGAACACCAAAAAGCATGTGGAAAACAGCTGAAATCACCCATAACATGGGAGTCAACCCTTCTTTTTTTAGGGACAAAAAGGTAAATACTTCCGGATCACTTTTTAGTGATATCCATTTAAGTGCCAAATCAATCATGGGACCCACATTGCTCCAGCTCCAAGTCTCTGAATGATCTATCTTTTTTAAGTAAAAATTTGGGAGTGTTCTTGTTAAACCCTCGAGGACCAAATATGCTTCGTTAGTGATGGAAAGGAATTCGTTAATGACGTTTTTGCCCCTCAATTTCTCAAACGAGGGAACGTCTAACCAAATGAAAAGGGCAGGGAACATGTCCGCAAAATAAGATGCACAATACCCGTATTGTAAGCAGACCTTCCAAAACCTTAGCTGTTCAATGAGCAAAGTTGACCAAAGTTTGACCTTTTCGGTTTCTTTATTCATCCAGTCATCAATACCCAAAGCACAACGATACAAATGCCATGTCAGCTTCTGGAAAGTTCCATTGTCTACAAATTCCTTACACCTCCCGGATTGAGCCAGTACCTTTTAACATAACAAGATTTTTTTTTTTTTTAAAAAAAAAAAAAAAAGTTATATAATTTGAAGAAACAGATTTTGTGATTTTTAAGATGATTACTGATTTACATACCTTTATAAGTGTAACAGATTTTATCTTTATAAAGTCAACTCCCATTTGGTTATTTGTAGTGAATCTGTGGACAATAAGTTGAACTAATCTCTCACATTTCATGATTGCATCTGCACATGTAGGGGAATGCCTTGCTATTGCAACCAGTATGGAAATTAGGGTTTCTTCCAAAGCTGTTGAAGGATCAGACTGAAAAACATAACATAGTATCAAGAATGAAGAAACATCTTACAAGTCAAAGTCAAAGAATGTTTGACCAAAAATTCAAACTTACCTCAAGTAGATAGCGAATTCTTGGAAGGATACCCATTCTAACTAACCCTGCTAAAATATCCTGTGTAGCAACCACAATGTCATCTTTTATTGTGTGTTCTTCTTCTTCATCACCCTCCTCATCCCTCATAATTTTATTAAAAGGAAAAATATTTGAGGGTTTAGTGTTGTATTTCCAAAATCCACCATGAAGAAAACCAACATCAATCTTGGGTCTACTTCTAAAGATGGGACCCGTATAGATATCCTTCTCATAAATTCCTGTTTTCTGAAAGCAAATTGAATGCTGTTAGCAATCAAGAGAGAAAATAGTCAAAGACAAGTTGACTACAGTAAGTAACTTTACCTCAGAGATATTAAAAAAGTGCTCATTAAAATCATAGCTAAGAACACACTGAATGACTCTTGCACATGCGATAACCACAGAATTATGGTTGTCATCAAGACACATCCTACAAGTTTACAGAAAGAAGAGAGGTGAAGTTTGACTTTTGAGGTCAAACATATCAAAAATCAACTCAATCATAGAAAGTTTAGGATTCACCTGAGTGATAAAGCAAGTTCAGGTTCTGGGCCTAATGCAAAAGCCCAAAGAGCCTCCCAGTCAACATTATTATTCTGATTACCAATTTTCAAAGTTGACCCTGTTTGGTTTCTGCAAATATTATCTTGTGCTTTATAAAGAACAGATGCAAGAAGATGCAATGCAAGAGCCCGTTGTCCAGGGACCTAATATGAAAATATCATGAGAACCAAGAAGAATTATATGAGTTCATGTTGTGTAATCAAGATTCATGAAACAGACAATTACTCCATATTTCCCCTAATATGTAAATATCAGAAATGAAAAAGAAGAATATTAAGAGTTTGTTATAATTTATAATTAACAAAACATACCACGCTTCTAGTGAGAGCTAGTGCCTCTTTAATGGTGTAACCAATAGCACTAGGGTCACCCTCAGTTCTAAGAAAGTCACGTTCTGCAGCATTTTCACTTCCATAAATACCCTTGGCAGATTCATTACCTATAACATGATTTAGAAACAAAAACAAGTCATTAACATCTAATGCACATATACAATAAGAATTCAGAAAGAAGAAAAAAAGATAGTCATCATTACCATAATCACTTAACACATCACCATTTAAAGAAAACCTTAAATCTCTTGCAGCCTCAACATTTGTGCTCCATGCATCCCATAAACTGCTGCCATTTGACTTACTTTCTAATCCAGTTGTTGAATGATTAGGATTTGTTTTTATCATCTTTTGAGCATTATCAGTCTCTGAGATGATTGATTCTTTCTGATTCTTGGCATCAATGGAGGCAATAGCAGAGGTAGAAGAACTTTTCTTACTCATTTTATCTTGTCCCCTTTTTTGCAATATCTTTATCAATGCAGGATCCATCTTCTTCATTATTTCAGCTTGAGCCTCTGTAATTTCATCAGTGGACATCTTCTCCAACCTTGCACGATTTTCAGCATCAATCTCACTCTCCATACTTGTAGAACCATGAGATGTTGGCATACTTAACTCCCCTACATCCATCATAATCTCATCTTTGGATTCTACCTTTACTTTTCTTGATATGTCCTTTGACTTGATGGTTGACTGTGTACCATTGTCAAGATTACTTTGGACAGCATCAATACCAACATTGCCTGCTTTTTGCTTGTGGCTCTTTGGTACTTCTGAATTTGTGTTACCTGATTCCTTTTTTGGATCACTTGGTTTTGCACTACCATTATACTTGTGTTGTTTCTTGGTAGTGTTATCATCAGTTGTGAGTTCTTGCCATTGTTTAAGATTCAAACTTTTTTTTTGTTTCCTGTGAATGGGTTTAGCATTAGCAGCAAGCAGATTAAAGTCTGTATGATCTTCATATTCTCCATCGTCCTCCTCATCGTTATCATGGATGCTTGAACTGCTAGTCCTTGGAGCCCAATGCTTTGAATAATAAACTTTGTATCAGTTTACCACACCAAAAGTTTCTTAGTAAGAGATAAAAAGGGTCCAATGACAAAGAACTGAAGAAAAAGTTGATGTTACGCTTGATTGTGTGTTTATTAGTTGTAAAACCTTTTAAAAACGAAGATGAAAAAAAGGTAGCAGGATGCTAGATGTTGATGCAGTGAACTCTGCTTTTATGTTCTATAAACAAGAACACATCACTATTCAAATTTTAAAGGGACATATACTTGAGATGATTATCACGTAAAAAGTTTTAACCCAAACATAGTGCACATTAGAAATCCATATAGAATCAAACAAATATTGAAGTTACTTTAGTTACATATAAACACGAAAATAAAACCAAAGAAGTAACGGGTTCTATATTTTCATTTGAAAATGCAACGTATCTGAGAGAATATAAAAACAAACTGAACAAAGCGGGAAAAAAAAATTAATAATAAAAAAAAAAAAAAAAAAAAAAAAAAGGAGAGATGGAAATCATCTTACTGGTCCGTGAGAGCGGTGTCGAGCAACCGGAAACGGAAGAACAGTGACTTGAGGTTGTGACACCGGCGTGCTGAAACCTTTTTCAACTATACCACCTATTATGCTTGATGCAACATCTTTTTCACCGATTTGGAGGCCAAAACTCTTCTTCTTCTGGCTAGAAGATGAGTTTTCCCCATTTCTGTCTGATTTCTTCATTTTTTTCAAATATATGTGAGAAACAGTATGGTTTTGTGTAATTATAACGTACAGATTGAGCTTTAATAGAAGATAAATAATGAGCGGCGCTACTGGCGGAGAACGGGGACGACGACAATCACTCCAGTCGGGGTCCGGCGAGGGTTTTGACTAAACGAGAAGGCAATTAAAGGTCATTCTTATAGCTTTCCTTTGAGTGAATTACAATTCTCGTCCCTATAACTGTTTCCAACCTACATATTTCATCCTAAATTGTATATTTTTTCATTTTTATCCTCTGCACATATCATATTTGTCTAATTTAATTTCAAACCATCATATTTATCATATTTAGTTTCAAACCATCATATTTAGTTATTTACCCATCATAAACTTTTAAAATGTCATATTTGTTCAAATTTTTATTGTTAATATTTTTAAATATTTTATAATCAATTTAAATCATTATTTATTATCAATGAACTAGCTACGAAGATTGAGGATTTCTTATTCAGAAAGGAAAAGCATCATGATATTTTTTCTTTTTGTGGCTTCTTTTTTGGTTGAAGATAATCATGAAGTGTATCAAGAAATTGAAGGTTCGTTTGATTTTGATGATTCTACCCATTTGTGTGAAACTCTTTTAATTTGTTGTTGATATCATCATTCACAATTAAATTCTCGAACTCTAACGTGGAACTAACTGCAAATAATTATGCAAATATTTAGATCTTTAATTTATTGTTGGTATGATCATTCACATTTAATTTGTTGTTGGTATGATCATTCACAATTAAATTGACATTTATTTGGTGAAAATTATTGATGAATTTAATGTTTAATTTGGAAGTTGAACTCTAACCGTGGGAATTAATTGCAAGTAGTTAGCATTATAGTTAATACTAAATTGAGAGTTAGATTTAGTTTTGTATGACTGATAATGGTTTTTTTGTTTAGAATCAAAGTATAAAAAAAGTTCATATAATGGAATTTCTATTTGTTTAAATCAAAAGGATTTGATTAATTAATACAAAATATAGTTCAATAGATATCGATGGAAGGAAAACGGACAACAAGTTGCGTCACTAGCCCTTTCTTGATGACAAAACAAATTCTTTTGAAAACAACATATATGGATATATGAGATATGACATTAGAGTGTATGACTCTTTGGACTTTATTGAGGAGCTCCACCGCCTCTGATGCGAGAAAACCAAATGTATCAAATGCAAAGGGTACAAACACGTGTTGATTTTTTATACATGCATTATCGTGCTTTGCCACTTTGCACACAGCGGCTTTCAAAGCGGCATGCTCTGCTGTGAAACCCCCGCTCCTCAAACTGACGAGAGGAGAGACCCCAGTAAGATCCATACACATGTGCTTCCCTCTTACCCATCTAAAGACCAAAATGTCAACCTGTCTAAGTGTAGATCTTCCATCCTGCGGGTCCGTCAAAAATTTCACTGGCGATTCTTTCTTCGCATAAATATCAGCACGCCAATAAGCATCAAAGAGAACATCCCCAACCACATTATATTTGTACTTGAAATACCAGCATGCTGATAAGCATGTTCCTTTAGAGAAAGATTTGATGCAACCAAATACACAGTCAAAGTCTGCTACAAGGGGAGGTTCAGAAATTATCGGGCTCGGCATGGATGGGGGTGGCCTGAAAGGGTGTTTGTCCTCCAAAGCTTTAATAGTATCACCATTATATGTGTCACACCCCCAAACCAAGGATGGCGGAAACGTCCGAGGGTGGAGGACTTCATGTATAGTATCACAACAAAGAGTATAATAGTGCTCAAAGTACAAACAACCAACATAAATATAATTGAAAAAGTTACATCATAGTATGAGTTTACATGTTTCTAAATCAATTACATTATGTTGACAAAAAATACAATGTTTAACGCCTCAGCGTTCCATCCTCAAAAGTCGCAGTTGTCCTGTTTTACGGATTTCCTGAGAATACAAGTAGTTTCGAAAAAGTGTCAACAATTAAGTTGGTGAGTTCATAAGCTTTTAGAATGAACTATTGAAATCTTTTCTTGTAAAAGTAGTGTTTGTTCCAGAAAATCCCATATTTTCTTTCTAAAATGTATTGTAGTCTAAAATGCCAAGACTTATAGTGTACCAGTATGTTTCCATTTAAAATTTGAATCATGCAAGTTTAAATGGGCATAAACTTGCTAGTGTAAATGAAAATCCCGTAAATCTTATGTTTGTTAATACCACATGTGAGTTATTATAATCATACTATGACTTTGTTGGCCATCTTCGGGCGTCATAAATGTTAATGACATTTGTCACCCCAGACCTGTCGGTCTAGCTGATGCATGCAGCTAAGGTGTGGTTTGTCAAACCCAATATAGATCTATATACAACTATCACGTTCTCCCTACAATAGATTCTGGTTATAATTAAAGGACTTTTTTTGCGCTACTTTGAAGTAACGTGAAGCGAATGTCTAACAAATTTATTCATTAACAGATTTACGTAGTGTAATGAAAACCCCTTTTTGTAGTAATGTATTCTTTTGTATTGTATATGTAACATAAACTATACCTATTATAGTTTATCCAAATGTTTGTTGTGTCTAATATTCACTTTCTATGTAAGTAGAAATATATATATATATATATATATATATATATATATATATATATATATATATATATATATAGCGAAACAATTCTATGTTTTCCATGCTTCATAATGCATTAATTGTAATGATAAAGAATTCTTACAATTTAGTGAATATTTTATATAACATAAATGTATCCAAACAGAAAACTTATGCAAAATATGGAAACATCAAGGTTTTACACTTTGCTCAACAAGTTACAAAGTGTTAATAAAGTTGTAATCTGTGAACTTGTTTTTACCATTTCTGCACTAATTTAAAAAAATCACAGAAAATTCACTCGAGATCAAAAACTAGATCCATAAACTCTGAGAGTTTAGAAAACGTGTCTAGTTTATTCATAATTTTTATTATGATTTTTCGAAGTCCTTAACTGGTGTAAAAATGTTCATATTCGCAGACTAGTCCAAATTCATAGCTACAGTGATAGGCAGTTTTGTAAAAATCACCATAAATTGTATAAAAATCGTATGGATGTGTGCAAGTAGTAATTTTAAAGGTAAAAACCTAAACTATTTGCACCTAGTACAGTTTTGAAAACCAAAAAGTTTAAGGCGTTCAAAACAGTTTGTGAATGAACATTATGTTTTCTGTTGAAAGCTGTTGTTTGAGTTTAGTTATGTTGTTGGTGATTTAACTTGTATTCTCCCCTTAAAACTTGAAGAAAAGCATGAAAATGTAGGGGTATGAACTCACCTTGAGTGATTTCAGTGGATGGATGTTGAAGAACGAAAGTGTTCAACTCAAGAACACTTAGAAGATTGCTTGAAGATTCGAAGTTCTAACATAAATATGATGAAGTTTGTGTTAGAAATCTATAGTTGGAGTAGAAAGAGGTGGAATAATCATATGAATGATGATTTTACTTACCAAAAGTAGATGAAGAACTTGAAAATCAGCCTTGAAATCTCGAAATCTTTAGAGAGAGAAGTGAGAGAGAGAATGGAGTTTGTTCTTTTGTGGAGGAGAAGTGAAGTGGGAAGAGAGATGAGGGTTTCCCAGCTTTTGTTCAAGAGCATGGCTGGAAAAATGGTGGGAAAAGGACAATGATTGACTAGGTATAAGGGAATAGTGGCTGGGTATGGCCCTCGAGTGAGTATGGGAGGTTGTTTGTGTTCTTGTACAAATGATAAGTCAACACTCCACCTACATAACTTACCTACTATATTTCTTTCTTAAATAAAGATCCCCATAAAAATGTGTTTAAATTATGGAAATATAGGGTCTTATATGTTAAAATATAAGTTTGGGTGAAAATCCCGCGTTAAAATCATGAAAAACAGGCTTAAAACGTGAAAATGGTAAAAAACCGGGAAAATCATGCAAAAATCCAAAGTCTGGGCCGGAGGTTCGGTCCCTGATGCTTAGAACCGAAAGTAGGAGGGAGCCGAGGGGAGGGCTCGGTCATTGGAGATGAATCGAGAGAGAGAGGTTCGGTCGGGTAAGTTCGCAGGCGAGGAAGGGAGGCGAAGGCGAAGCTCGCAGGGGGGAAGGAAGCGAACTGGACCGAAGGCTCGGTTCATTTCGGTTGCTAATAGTTTCGGTTCTAACATGTTCGGCTCTGACAGCTCGCCTCGGTGGTTCGCTTCTCATGAGTTTCAGTTCCGGCAGGAAGTTTCGGTTCTTAAGGAGGTTCAACTCTTTAGGGGCTTCGGCTTCTTGGGGGGATTCAGCTCCTTAGGGGGCTTCAGTTCCTTCGGGTCTCTCCTCTTAGGGAGGTTCGGCTCTAAGAGGCTGTTTTTCGTGTTAACTCTCCATTTTGCGTAGTTTTTGGCTAAGATAAGGGTCGGGATAACTCGGATGACTATAAAAACTTGAGAGAGATTTCACATACATAGAGAGATTTGGGAGGGATTTCACATACTTAGAGAGATTTGGGAGAGGTTTCACATACTTAGAGAGATTTGGGAGATATTTCACATACTTAGAGAGATTTGGGAGAGGTTTCACATACTTAGAGAGATTTGGGAGAGGTTTCACATACTTAGACAGATTTTGGAGAGATTTCACATACTTAGAGAGATTTAGGAGAGATTTCACAACTTAGAGAGTTTTGGGAGAGATTTCACATACTTAGAGAGATTTGGGAGAGGTATCACATACTTAGAGAGATTTGGGAGAGATTTCACATACTTAGAGAGATTTGGGAGAGATTTCACATACTTAGAGAGATTTTGTTTATGACCTTTTTAGGTGTTTAGCTTTGTAATGCAAGGTTCGTACACCCCATTAAGCTTAGTTATGATGGTTTTATGCCCCCGAGGGATATGAAATAATGTTTTATCGAATAGTTTCATCACTTACCCTGATTAGGGTTTGAAATTTCTAAACGAATGAACTTTCCAAGTGATAACTTCTTATTAAAATAGTGGGTTGCACAATAGTACATAGTGTAAGCCCTAATACACAAGGGTTAGATGAGTTGACCGGTTTGACCGATTGACTTTGACTTGATCGGAAATTGAAGGTTATCACAATATGGCGCAACACCCGATGAGCATAACACTTTCACAG